GGTGCGGTGGGCAGGCGGGGCGCAGGCTGTACTTGCCTTGATGGTTGTGCCGGGACCGATGTCGTGCAGCAGGGACATCTCTGGGGGGCTCCTGGGCAGCCCGTCGTCCTCGGAACTCATGCCGGGGTCATCTCCCCGCTTGGCAGGCAGGCCGCCCGGAGGGGGTGGCGGCCCCATTTTCACATTGCACTGTATTTTTAACTGGATTGGAATAAAGAACATTTGGCTCTTGTTTTCATCAGCGACTTTATCAACAAACCCTCCCGCCCCAATTCATTCATTTGGGAGATGTTTCAGCGCCTGGCCGAGGTTCTGGGAGGTTCATCTCCCCGCTTGACAGACAGGCCTGCCTGCCGCCAGCTCTGCTGTCACCTTGAAAACGAGCCGTTACCACGCAGACGAGCCACAATCCAGCTGTAACTACCGGGCGTGTCTTGGGAAAGTTGCGATGTGCACGCCATTGTACTTTAAAACGTATCAAATAAACCGAGCGGGGACTTAAAACATCTCGATTTGTATCTGACGTACATACCAGATGATGCTGCCAGGGGTTTACCTGCAGAGCCTTAATCCGGTCACACACGTTTTCTTGGGAAAACACCCGCACGGGCCTTGCGGGGTCCTGTCCTGACTCCGGAATGAAAATGCTGTCGTGTGAGAGGGCCCGGCCGCCCAGCGCGCCCCTCGACTCCCTAGGATGAGAGAGCCGCCATGAGACTGCGCCCGGCCCCTCCCCGGGGTCCTCGGGTGAAGAGCCGGGGACACGCGGGCCGGTGGCCCTGCACACAATTGGCTGCGGCTGCTGCGTTTTTTATTTGCTCCCAACTTTAGTTCATCCCCACCCTGCCAAACACCTTAGTCAGCGACTAGGAACATTGCAGAGATAGAGATTTTCCTAACAGATCTGACGTTTGTGTGAAATTGTTTTTATTAATGGAAAAGCCAAGGCCTGACCAGGTGTGAGGTCTGAGACAGGGGCCTCGGCTGCTGGCAGCGCTGTCGGGAGGGTGAGGTCACTCCTGTGGGCCCACGCCCTGCCGCTGGGTGGGCTGGAGGCCGTGTTTGCACAGCAGGTGGAGGGCCTGCCCAGCTCCGGGACTAAAGTTCACCTCCTCGCTGGCCGTGAAATGACACTGCACATCTGCAAAGCTACGCTCTCGCCACTACCTGACCGGATCTGTGCAGGGCTACCTGTGCGCCTAGGTCCTGGAGTGCAGATGGCCGCCCCCGCTGTCATCACCGCCAGCCCCTTCCCTAGCCCCAGGCTCCCATTTGGAACTGAACCCACAGGACGTTCGCAGATGTTCTAAGAGGATGTGGGGGTTAGCGTCGGCTTTTCCTAGCAGCAGTGGCTGCTGAACAATAGGTGGAAGGAGGTGACTGAGACCCGATGATGAAGGAAGGAAAGCCGGCCCCGGCAGACACCGGCCGTCTTGTACACCACGACCCCCCACACCACCCGCCCCGCATCCTGTCCTCTGCGAGGCCATCGGGACTCTAGGTGTGGCCCTGCTCTCCTGCAGATCAATGATCTCTCTAACTTCTTTCTAGCCTGCAATAGTGAATTCGCAAGGGGGGAACCCACGGCTCCCCGAAGGGTGTGTCCTCACATTTCTGGGAGGGCCAAGGGCCAAGTGCAAGCACCAGGCGGCCCTCCCACCAACGGTGGCCCTTGCCACAGAGTTCACAGGCACACCAACCTTCCCTCCTCCAGGGGGCAGCTGGGCCACACTCTTTGTAACCACGGGCAGCACCGGTCTACACCGAGGGAAGTAAAACACAGAGCAGACAGCATTTACGGTGTTAGCTCAGTGTGGGAGAGGGGCCTGGATGTATATGGACATATGTGAGCCTGTCTGCATATTTGCTTACATTTTTTAAAAGCGAAAGGATAAAGCCCTAGCTGGTTTGGCTCAGTGGATAGAGCACTGGCCTGTGGACCAAAGGGTCCCGGCTTTGATTCCGGTCAAGGCCACGTACCTCGATTGCAGGCTCCTCCCTTGCCCGGGCCCTGGTCGGGGCACGCGCAGGAGGCAACCAATCGATGTGTTTCTCTCACATGGATATTTCTGTCGTTCCCTAGCTCCTCCACTCTCCCTAAAAATCAATGGGAAAACATCCTCAGGTGAGGATTAACTCCCCCAAAACAAAACAAAACAACAAAAACCCCACAAAAGGATAAGTAACAAATTAATAAAAATGATTTTCGTTGGGGGAAGGAACAAGACGGGAGACAGGGTGACAAGGTACCCATAGGTACAATTTTGCCTTTGAGACTATGTAAATGTTTTACATACTTAAAAGACAAAATCAAACAAAGAAGAAAATAAAACAATCTCTAAAACTAGACAACAACCTGAAACAAGCAAAATTTTATATCAGGTTATTGGCATATCCACACAGAGAAAAGTGATTTTGAGTGACTTTAACTCCACTTCCAAGTGACTTTTGATTCTACATCTGTAACAGGACAAATTCTAAGAAAACCCACAAAGATATCAAATTGCACTTGGTAGTCTTATTAGTAACAACACTGATTTAAAAACAGTACAGAACAATCTACAGTATATAACAACCTTTGTTCTGAAAGGAGAGTAATAAAGTTATCATAAGTACATTGCATGATGAAGGAAAGAAATAATTTTGTTAATATCATTATGAACCAAGATATCCAGCATAAGAGAAAAATAAACTCAAATAAAAAATCCAAAAAGTAAAATATTTATCCTACTAAATTTAAACTGGAAATATCAGTAAATTAATAATTTATTTTTTTCTCTTAAAAAAACAGAGCATCTTTCCTAGGTATATGTGCTGGAAAGGTCTAAAAGCAAGGACAGCCGACTACCTAGCAATCATCACCCCTGGCAACCAGCCTGTGGTCTCCTAAAGCCATCCACACTGAAAGGAACTAGAGCCCTGTGAAGAAATGGCTGATTACAGGTCTAGGGCAGGAAATGTGCGAATTACCCTGAGATTTCTCGCTGTACAAGAAAGCAAAGAAGCTTTCAAAACAAATGGGCTCATGGTAAAAGCACCCAGGAGCTACCCTGGCCAGTGTGGCTCAGTTGGTTGACCACTACTCTGTGTGCTGAAAGGTTGCCAGTTCCGTGTCCGGTCAGGGCACATACCGATGTTGTGGGTTTGATCCCTGGTTGAGGTGCATACAGGAGGCAACCGATCAATGTTTCTCTCTCTCCTTGCCTCTCTTTCTAAAAAAAATAAATAAAAACATAAAAAAATAACCCAGGGGTTCATTTGAAGACACCCACATAGGACATAAAGATGAATAAAGGTTGTCATGGACTAAAGCAAATCAAATATGTAAAAATCCACGCCTTAATAATAATGACCCCCAAGGGTCATATGCCTCTTAAGAGTTTTATCCTCAAGTTAAGGGCCAATGTTGTTTAAAAGAAAACATAAAAGCTGGCACGGCAACAAATCTGTGGGTTTTTTATCCTTTTTTACTCACTTATACAACTGCTGGAATAACTGAGCATATATATTGCAACTATACTTTGGAAAAATACAAGTTATCCTATATAATAAAAGGCTAATATGCAAATCGACCGAATGGCAGAACGACCAGTCGCTATGACGCACACTGACCACCTGGGGGCAGACATTCAACACAGGAGCTGCCCCCTGGTGGTCAGTGCGCTCCCACAGGGGGAGTGCACCCCAGCCAGAAGCTCTGAGCCGGGCTCACAGCTGGCCAGAGCAGCGGCACTGGTGGGAGCCTCTCCCGCCTCCATGGCAGCACTAAGGATGTCCATCTGTTGGACATCCCCTGAGGGCTCCCAGAATGTGAGAGGGCGCAGGCCAGGCTGAGGGACTTCCCCCGCCCCGCTCCAGTGCACGAATTTCAGGCATCAGGCCTCTAGTTAATAATAATATTCAAGAAAAAACAAAATTCATGGTCATTACTGGAAGGGGACAGGGTACCAGGTCATCACTCTGAAGGTGGATCAATAAAAGGATCATTATCTAAGCATTACCCTGCCCTTCCTTTACAAACTGTGTTTGAGAGCCACCAAGGAGCTGATGCACTAAAGAAAAAGGTCTTCTTCATAGAAGAACTAGTGACCCAGTGCATGGATTTAGCACACTGAAAGGTAATTAATTAGAAGGTGGCCTGTGGGGCGGGACTGGGCAAGATAGGCTGGACATGCTCTGGAGCCAATCTCCCGTGGTCCCTTCCTGGCGTCGGCAGAATGAGTGGGGTTCCACTGACAGGTGGGGTCCCTCAGCCTGGCCTGCGGGGACTGGGCCAAAACTGGCTCTCTGACATCCCCTGGGGGCTCCCGGAGTGTGAGAGGGCACACACTCTGCAAAGCTGCTGTCCTACAGGGTGTGGAATCAATCACAGTGTGCAGTGAACCAGGTTCGGCCAACAGTGCCCCAGCAACAACACAGCCCATGGCCGAAGGTGGACTCATGGGGCCCACGCGATGAATCGGGCTCCCTCCTCTCTGGTTTCAGGTGCGTCACCCAGAACCGTTGCTGCCAAGTTACTGCAGCTGGGCAGCTCCTGTGTTGAGCGTCTGCCCCCTGGTGGTCAGTGTGCGTCATAGCGACACGTGGTTCTGCTGTTTGGTTGATTTGCATATTAGCCTTTTATTATATAGGATCGCCAAACTGCTCTCCAACCCAGTTGAATCAATTAACATTACCAC